CGCCTGAAAATAAAAAAGGTTTCGCAAAGTTTCAACTTCAATTTGGAAGTCATAATATCTCTACTTTGATTGAGTTGACGTAAGATACTGTATAAGCTACGACAAAGTGAATTTGTATGTTTGTGAAATCTCGGATTGGAATCTAGCCATAAACCCAAGTTTTTTCTTTCTGTAATTCAATTTAAGGTCATGGGCTATAGATAGATCCAGTAACTTTTGTAGATCGCTGTTAATTGTTTTCATTGCCACCTGCCAGTTACTTGGAGGAAATCGATAATATAACTGAGTGTCATCTGCATAATGATGAACTGTGCTATGATTAATTATTCCATGGAAGTCGTATATATATAGAGAGAACAAAATTGGGCCAAGGATAGAGCCCTGAGGTACTCCATAATCAACAGGTAAAGCACTAGAACACTTTCCATCCGGACATACTGACCGAGTCCGATTTCTGAGATAACTTTTCAATAGATTCATAGTCCCTCCACTAAATCCGAGAAATAACATTTTCCTACACAGAATATTGTGATCTAATGTATCGAATGCTTTACTGTAGTCCAAGAGTACCATGGCAGTTACTTTATTATTATCAGTTGCTTTGAATAAATCTTGGGTGATGTTGACAAGAGCGGTAGTGGTGCTATAGAATATACGAAATCCAGATTGAACATTTGTTATTAAATTATTATTGTTTACAAAAGAATCAATTTGATCTTTCAGAATCCGCTCGAACACCTTAGATAGCATAGGCAGTTTGCTAATTGGTCTCAAATGAGATAATTCAGTTGGATTTTTACATTTTGACAAAGGGAGTACAATTGCATATTTCCATGCAGAAGGAAAATGATTTGTTTCTATAGAGAAATTGAATATGTGTGTGATGTGGTTGATAAAATAATTTTTAATATACTTTAACATAATGAAAAAAAATGTGTCAGATCCAGCACAGTTACTTTTCATACCACTGATGTATGGTTGAGTCTGGAGTCGTGTCACTCTGGGAAAATTCATAGTTGGTCCATTATAGGTCTGAGTGTATCTTTCATTAAGTGTTTCATGATGATGAGATTCTGCAGGATGAATAATATGTGTTTAGTGGGAGTTTATTCGATTCAGATCTCATAAATCCGCAGAAAGGTTAGGGCTGTGTTTATTTTTAAACATTTCAAGTTTTCTTAGAGTGCGTACCCCAGATCAAACTGTAATGTCCGTTTCTCGAAACAAATTCTAAATAGGCTCTTCTTTCACGTCGGATTGCTCCGGTGGTATAATTACGGAGTTCCTTATAGCTCGTCCAGTCTCTATGAGATTTGGTTACTTTGAACTTTCCAAGAGCTTTATCTCTCAGTTTAATCATTTCTTTGATGTTAAAGGTAAGCCATGGGGCGGGCGGTTTTTTGTTCTTATAGACCTAACTGGAGCATGGGCATTGAAAAGAATTGATGTGTTTGTGGTGAAAAACTCTACCATTGCATCTACTGTTCCGAAGTGGAAGATTCTATCCCAATCAAAGAGGTGGAAATCATTGAAAAAATAATCTTGGTTGAAATTTCGGAAATCTCGGTAGTAAACTGTTTTGTATTCTGATGTTGTTTCCAGTGATATAATTTCACAAGTGATTGCAAGATGATCGGAGATACCAATATCTAAAACTTCAACTGACTGTATATCATTCTTTTCTGATGTTACCAAGATATTAATAAGGGTATGAGTATTAGCTGTTATTCTTGTAGAAACAGATTATAACTTCGATGAAAGTTCAGAAAGAATTCTACAGAATTATTCATTCCTAAGAGGTTAATATTCATATCTCCCGCCAAGTTCACGGAATCGCAGTTCATTAAAAAATTTGACACCATATTTTCGAGTACGGTTATGGAAAGTGATACATTAGCTTTTGGTGGTCGGTATACAACCCCGAATATGTATTTTTTGCCAAATTCACTCACCGATATCCAGATATGTTCGAGATATTGGTTAATCTCAGAAAAAATTACTCGAAATTGTATTGAGTTTCTAATGTAGAAGCACACTCCTCCTCCTCTTTCGTCTCTGTCAGCTCCAGCGATAATATACTTGTGAATATTAACCACTTGTGAAAAAATATTAGGACTGAGCCAAGTTTCTGAGATACCAATAATATCTATGATATTAGGAAATTTCAGACCAGTTACTAAACCTTCAACTTTCCCGAAGATTTTTGAGTATGCATTTTTAGAACGCCTGAAGGATTTTATTGGTTCACACAATATTCTTACTCCAATACAGCATGGTTTCCGGTGTGGCAAATCAACCCAAAGTGCCCTACCATCTTTCTACGATGACTTGATTGAATTTATTGACCCAGGAGAGTGTCACACTGTAGTTCTACGTGACTTGAGCAGGGCTCTTGACTGTGTTGATCATACCAAGCTATTAGATTTTTTGTATCGTTATGGAATAAGGGGAAATTCACATTCATGTGACACAATGTGTCTCGCTCGAATTTGACAAAGGTGATGTTTATTCGTTTTCAACATCAGAAATGAGGTCGGTCCAGTTAGGAGTACCTCGACTGGACCGACCAACTGGTATTATATACCACACCATACCATATTATGCATCAACTGCCTATGCAGATGATATTGGTTTGGTGATATCTGCCAAAGCGACCAATGAATTAACACGAAAATGTGAATATATTCTGGATGTACTTTCAAACTATTTCAATAGTCACGATCTGTTTTTCAATGTGAAAAAACTCAGTTACTCCGCTTGCTTTCACAACTATCAGAATAAAACCGATGTTATTTAGGTGACTATTAATGACTTTATTTTGAGAAACACCCATGATGCTGTTGAATTCCTAGGCATTTAACTGGATGAGGTTCTTTCATGGAATGAGCATTGTGATCAACTTGTTCCATAATTGAGCTCTATAACCTATCTTTCCATTAACTTGAGAAATTGTCTCAACATAAACCAATTCATGGCTGTTCATCATCCCAGACCGAATCCAGGTTGCGCTGTGGTGTATGTCTGCGCTATGGTGTTTACTCTCTGCAAAGAAGAAAAATGTATTTATCCAACAGAAAGCTATCCTGGGCTGTTTGTTTAACGTTCCTCGACAGTATTCATGCAGAAACATTTTCGTTACACACGAAATTTTAACTCTGGTTGGATTATATTTTTATGAGATGTTTTCACTAATAGGAATGACTTTATTCTTAATAGCGATATTCATAATAAAAACACTCGACAGTTGTCTTCTCTGTCTTTCTTTGTTTTTGTCTCCTTCTTTTTCATAGGTGTTTATTTTTTATGTTATTTTCGTGTTTGGCTTGTATGTGATATTCATGTTCAATGGCTTGAAGATGACAGAATCGAAAAAAAAAATACAGAAAAAGGATAAAGCCACCCCAACAGACAAAACAACACAACGATGGACAGCATTTACGTACGTAGGGCACCAAACCAAAAAAACTAACAATCATCTTCAAGCCATCGAACATCAACATCACATACAAGCCATATATATATATATATATATATATATATATATATATATATATGAAACAATATATCGAGTGGTCCACCTTGCTCTTCACCTTTTTTTGTAACTTAACGCAAAAATGCTCGGACAGGTTAATTTTGCTTTCGAGGGGGACACATTTTAGATGTATTTTTCTACCTGTGCCTTCAACCCCCTAGCGAGGGTAAGTGACAACCCTAAAATTTTAAATAGAAAGTGGGGTCGAGTTATATATCACTTGGAAAGTCAGAAAATTCTCTTTCCAATGATACCTAATTTGTTGTATTTACTTCAATAGTTATAAAATAACCAAGAACATTCCCTCGATATTTTTCGTGTTAATGAAAATGCGGAAAAAACGGCATTTTTATCACTACTACATTCCTCAA